CCCATTTATGTATGTTCATTTCTTTTAGGCTTATAGTCATTTGAATTAACATAAAACTCATTTTATGAAAATGCATATGTAATAGATTTAATATTAATAAAAAATTGTCATAAGGGGTTTGGATGCCATGATGGTTGTAAATTGTATTTGCACCTTGTAACTGCAAAAAGCCAAAAAGGATGTGAAGATGTAACTATGTGCGTTGGATAATAATGGGGTCAGAATTGGTTTGTGGATGGTTTTGGCTTCAGAAGGTTTATCCTTTGCCCAGAGGTGTTTGACAGAGAGTATAATTCAACGAAGAAGGTAAATTGATTCATGGTCGACGGGAACGATGTATTAGCAGAATAGCAGGGGAGGGAGATTTTGATGGCAACGACAGATTCCACGAAGTCGGTGGCTCGGTGCTGGTGAGGAGTTCGTATATCCTACACCCGGGTGTACATGTACACCCGGTTTTTTTTTTAAAAATTGCAAAATCACGCTTCAATTAATACTCCACTTGCATCGTAAATCCTTCAGCTCATCTTAATCTTCATGTCTTAATTCTCTGTTGCCAGGTGTTTTGCACTGGCACCTCTCGTCGAATACCTTCTGGATATAGACCACCTCCTGCTTTGTGCCGACTTATGCTCTCACCGATCTTGAGTTGAGGGCATATTTTCTACTCCATATTTCCGTTTTCTTTCTTGTTCTTTAACCTTCTTTTGCTTTGTTTTTTTAAGTGCAAATATAGAATACTCCGTATTATTTAATGTCCAAGACCCCATGCTTATTTTATTTATTTTCTTATTCCAATCAACTTTTATTAGTTTATAACTTCACTATTTAATTTGTGCATTATATAACATTTTAGGTATTAATATTTTATTTTATTAAATAATGTGTATTAATTATTTTAATAATGTGTGTTAATATTGTGTATAATATTTAAAAGGAATGAGCATACACAACTGAATATTTGAACACATTAGAGGTTTTTAAATGAGCTTTTGAAGTTTTCGATACTCATTTTGTACGTTACGTATGCCCATCTGATATTGGTTTTGTGCTAATTTTAAAATGTCATATCAATGCATATTTCAAAACTATCATATTACATTAGATTCACATGAAAGTTGATTATAGACTCGAGAGCAAGGATAATAATACCCAATTGCATGTTTCTGATACTCAATAGAGGGGGGTTGATGTTCAATTAAAATGTCTTGATGCTCAACTAACATAGCTTGTGATTTTCATATCATTGCCCATTTGGTAAGTGATTATGCTCATTTTGTACTGGTGTTATGCTCAATTTAAAATGTTATATCAATGTATATTTCAAAATACTTAGACTCCTAATACTCAACATAATATGTCTGATGCTCATTAAAATTTTATCAATGCTCATTCCCCAGAAACCGTGATATGCGAATTTAATGTAATATGACACTTTTTAAATATGCATTGATATGACATTTTACATATTTGCATAAAATCAGTATCAAATGAGCGCATGTAACTTAGACAATGTGCATTGGTATGAAAAATGTAATGTTGTTAGTTGAACATCACAACATTTCATTGAGCTTCAAACATCCTCTATTAAGATGAAATTCATGGTTTCTATTAAATGAGCATTAATGAACTTTTACTGAGCATCAGACCAATTCTGTTGAGTATTAGGAGTCTGATATTGAGCATCGAGATCTCTACTTCAAATCTTATATTCACTTTCATTTTCTTATTTTTTCCTTTAAAAAAAATTATGAAATTATATCTGTAAACAACTCCTATGAAACTTCAATATGTGAATCTAATGTAATATGGTACTTTTGAAGTATGCATTGATATGACATTTTAAAAATGAGTATAAATGAGTATATATTGAGCATATGTTACTTACAAATGAGCATTGATAAATTTTTTTAAATTGAGCATCAAGACATTTTCATTGAGCATCAAATATCTTCTATTGAATATTAGAAACATTTAATAGAGTATCAAGGTATGTGCTCGATCTAGTATCTATAATCAACTCCTACGTAAATCTAATGTAATACGATACTTTTGTAGTATGCATTGATATAACATTTTAAAATGAGCATAGATCCATTACCAAATGAGCATACAAAACGCAGTAAATGAGCAATAATATGAAAATCATAAGCTTTGTTACTTGAGCATCAAGACATTTCATCGAACATCATATCTCTTCTATTGAGAATCAAAAGTATGCAATTTAGTATTATGATCTATGCCCCCATGTGAATCTATTATGAAACTTTTGAAATATGCATTAATATGACATTTTAAAATGAACATAGAACCAATACTAGATGAACGTACGTAACTTACAAAATGAGCATAAAGAAAAATCAAAAGCTCGTTTGAATTCTCTAGTGTGTTTAAATGTTCATCTTTGCACATGTATCATAATGACAAACATCATAATGACAAATATAACAATTTTATATTAAAAATAATTTATAGTGTTTCTTTCTGGAATTACAAATGTAATAGGGTTCTTTTTATAATGTTTACCCATGCTATTTATTTTACAATACTCATTTTAGCATAACATAAAACTCATGTTAGTTAGTTATTAGTACATATTATTCAATACACTAATAAATATTCATCTTACACTAAAAATAAAAAATACGACATTAATACCTCAAATATTTAATAAAGTAATAAATATTCACCTTAAACTAAAAATAAAACATTAATACCTCAGACATATATACATCATAAATTAAAGGTAAAATCAATGGAAAAGGTGTTAAAACAAAAAGGGAAAAAGAAATTAAAAAGAAAGATCAGAGTTACGTGAAAGCAAATAAAGTCAAACGGAAAATAGCAGATATGGTTGCGCGTAGTGGACTAAAGTTAGCAGCGAAAAATTAAAAAAGAGCGTATGCGGGATGAATGAACGAACTGAACTAGTGAACTACCTGCAGATCAGAAACAATTACAAAAATACCCGGATGTACGATGAGCACCGTACATCCGGGTGTACGATATAATTTGCGGCTGGTGAGTCCGTATCATGCTTCATATATTAATTTAGCCTTAAGAGATTTCAATATGTTACAAAAATACATGGATGTACGGTTCCCACCCGTACATCCGGGTGTACAATATAGGAGTCCCATTTTGTTCACCCCTTCTTGTAGGGTGAACATCACCCACTCCCCTCTTTGTTGCCATTTGGCATCACAAATCCTTTTTTTCTTAAAATCATTATAACTTTTTTTATTTATAATCTAATTTTCACAAAAAATATATCAATTTTAATAACATTTTATTATCTTTCTAATGATATCCATATTATGTATTAAAAATTTGAAAAAAATATTCTTCTTTTCTTAAGACTTTTTTTAGTTGGATTTTTTTTAAAATTTTGCGATATTAGTATCAAATTAAAGATCATAAAAAACTAAAAATATTGATATATTTTTTAAAAAAACTGAACCAAAAACAAAAAAGTTATAAGAATTGCAAAATTGAAATGTATTGCCATGCCATGTGGCAGCATTGGAGGGTGGGGATGATGTTCATCCTCTTTAGAGGGGGTGAACAAATTTGTTCTCGATATTGGGGAGTGTGATAGCGGCTTTTTACTTGGATTGTAATTTGCTGATTTGGTCTAGTCTAGTCTAGTCTGGTTTCTTTGTTTTTTCATAATTATCCAAGTCTGGTCTGGTCTGATCTGGTCTGGGACGGCTTAAATAAATGAGTGTTTGCGATTGTTTCTACTTTTAAAAAGTTACGCCATTTTTAAGTGTTTTTTTTTGGAAAAAAGTGATTAAGAAGTTGTTTTATTCGCCTGATCTCAAAATTTCTGATCTGATCTGAATTTTTCTGATCTGATCTGATCTAAATCTTTCTGATTTGGTCCTCTACTTACTTAAATTTGACTTACCTTCAAAATTAACTTAAAGAGTTAATTATCAAAATAGGACTAAAAGTTATTCACTTTGCACAAACAGGACAAAAAAAATAAACTATGTTTCCATAGGACTAATTATGTGTGTCTTGGACAAATATACTCTTATACCTATTGGAATGTTTTAATTCATAATAAAATAATAAAAAATAATAAAAATTCGTAAAATATACCAAAAAATTAATAAAAATATTTTGAATAATAATAAATTTTAAAAAAAAAATTAAAAAAAATTAAAAAAAATTTAAAAAAAAATTAAAAAATAATTTTTTTGTCACCGCCGCCTCTGACGCCCCAGCACCACCACCTCTAGTCATTTGGGGAAAAAATGCCAAATTTATTATGAATTCCATATTTTTGGCATAATTCAGAATGATCTAAGATGGAAGAAAAAAAATGTTGGCATTGTCAAAGAGAAATATGCCATATTTTTGGCATTTTCCGAAAAAATGGAAGTTTGTAGGAAATATGACATTTTTTTAACGGTCGGAGGTGGTGGTGCAGGGAGGCGGTACCACCACCTCCTGTCACCGGGGTAAAAAAAATGCCAAAAAAATTATGAATGCCATATTTTTGGCAAAAGTCAAAAGGATTCAAGTTGGCAGAATGAAAATGTTGGCATTCTCATAGAGAAATATGTCATTTTCGTGGAATTTAAAAAAAAATGGCATTTTTTACACCGATCGGAGGTGGTGGTTCAGGGAGGTAGTACAGGCGGTGGGAAAGGTATCCATATTTTTTTTTTAATTTTTTTTATGGAGTTTTACTATTTTTATTAATTTTCAAAAAAAAATTAATTTTTTTTCTTATTTTTGTTTTATAAAAATTTTATTAATTTTTTTATTATTTTTCTACGAATTATTGAAATTTTTTCGAATTTATTATGAATTAAATATTTAATTATGACTTTTAGCTATCTTTTACTAATATTTAAAGGAGGGGTAAGAATGGAAGGAAGAAATGAGTATGTTTAGTTCTAGTTTTTGCCATAATTTTAGTTCTAGTAATTTCTATGACTTAAATCCCATCTTTTAAACCTCTTCATCTTCTTTATCTTACCTTACGTCAACCTCACACTTCCTCCCTAGAAAAAGACAAGTCTGGTGAGAAAGAGCCTTCTTCTACGACATTCTCTCACCAGTCACCTCTATTCCTTCACCTTTTAAGTTTGCCTAGCGATTCGATTCACCCTACACGCCGCTGCACAGAGAGAACCCATCGGGAAATGGGGAAGCAGACGGCGTTGATCTACGCGTTCGTGGCGCGTGGGAGCGTGATACTGGCCGAACACACCGACTTCAGCGGTAACTTCAACGCCATAGCTCTTCAATGCCTCCAGAAGCTTCCGGCATCCAACAACAAGTTCACCTATAGCTGCGATGGTCACACCTTCAACTACCTTGTGGATAACGGCTTCAGTAAGCATCCCCTGCTTTTATGTCACAATTTATTTGAAGGGAAATAGTTAAAATGTCTATCTATCGTAATATTACCCAAGTACCAAAGGTAATTTTTCTATTTGAGCCAACCCTTCTTAAGATCAGCTTCTTTCTAGTGGATTTAGGTGACTGAAGGGAGATTCGACTAATGGTGTTAGCCAATCCGTATATCAAAGGGATTGGGATCACTATGAGCGGACATCACTCACTAATGGTGGAATGATTAGCTAGTGAATTTGATGCATGGATCTCAACTTCTTTTTTTCATTAGATGATGATAGTTCTCTCCTCTTTATGTGTCCTTTCTATTTTAATTTTTAGTTTTTTTTTTTTACTTTGTATTTTCAATGTGCAAGAAAGTTGAGGTTGTTTAAGGGTGTTTGGAATTGATTCTGTTACAGCTTCTTCTTTAAAAGGAGAAGTAGAATAAGAATCACTTTTTGAGAAGCTGGTCTCCCCCGGCTTCTAAAAACTGCTTAAGCAATTTGGAGCACCCAGAAGTAGAAGTACTTATGCAGTTTCACCCAAACACTCCAGTATTTGCTTTCAGTTTTTGCTTCTGGTCCCTGCTCCCTGAAGGAGGCAGAAACAATTTTAAGAAGTAGATCCAAACACCCCCTAATCTGGTTAGGAGTGTGATAATTACTCACATCCAGGTCATTTACTTGTCCTGGATTTTCAAATGGGCTGGAAAGGTCACTTCCAAGATTGTATAGGATTCCAGCAGTTTATCCTGTAGTTTTCACTCAGCGTAGCCGTTTATTTTTACTGAAAAGACAGCTGCACGTTTTGTTTAGTTAGGAAATGAGAATCCCTTTCCGCCTTTTCTATGAGTCTATCTACTGAAAATTTAGACTCCTTAAGGGATTAGTTTTTCTATGTAGTGCTCAATGATGTACAGATCTGAATGTTGTGTCTCATAGCTAAATCAACAATTCAATACGAAAAGAACAGTTGAGCACGTATCTGGTGCTTATTTTCCAATTTCTAGAGTCCTTCATTATTTCTTATGATTCAACATAAGTGCATCGTCCCCTTCTGATTGATCGTAAAGGCTTCCTTTCCTCCAATCAGGGGGAGAACCAAGGAGGGGTGACCTAGCGCCGCCCCCTCGCCGGACATTAGGAGGTAGGTATATGTAGTAAATTGACCGTGCCTCCGAGCTTCAACGGTCTAATTTTACAATGAAAATACTTAACCTAACTGTATCATTTTGTTGAAGTGATGAAACAAATACGGAGTAAAAATGTACGTAATTACGTAGTACTCCCTCCGTCCTGCTAGAAGGTTCCCGTTACGGTTTACGATGTTTGACTGACGATAAAGCAACTTAATTCCTATTCACACACTGATTATTTTTAGTAAATAAAATTTACATATTCAGAAACTACCTTAAAACCGCTACAAAGTCTGATAAAAAATGTAAATTTGATAAAAATTTGATATATAAAGAAAAAGATTAAAAATGATTTAAGTTGACCATATGAATAGTGGACGAGAACCTTCTAATGGGACGGAGGTAGTACTAACTATAGGGTCTATTCATGCTTGCTCAGTTTTTTGAATTGGGCTTGAAGCCGTGAGGACATTTATGAGTGTAGCTTCTACTTGATGTCTTGTCTAGTTGACTTCTATGTATTCCAAATATCCTACACTTTCTCAATTTTAATTTGTTTAGTAAATTGCTTCTTTCTAATAAATAGCTAATGGGAGTATTTGTAAGGAACCCATGTGGTACCCTATTGTTTTTGACAACCTTAGTCAATTTTTTTTTATTAAAAGCACAACTTTTGATTTTCAAGATCAATTGTGTAATAATCAAAATAAGTAAGATTAGAGTTACTTTTCTTGTTGAATTGGATGAATTTGTTGAAGATGAGTATTTTAGTTATTTTTTATAATATATTCTTTGTTTTATTAATAAAATACTTTAAATATAATTTTTTTAATTAAGCAAGTTCAACCAAGTTAGCCGTTTCAGCAACAATTTTCTTCTTCAAATTTCAGCAGATTCAGCCAATTTTGTAATAATTTTTCAAATCAGTCTCTACTAACTTTTACATTAGACTATGAGACATAACTTCTATATGAGTAATAATGAGTGTATGACTGTATAGAATGACTTGATTAATATGTTTAATAATAATGACTAAATTGAAAGATAATTACTGTGTATGATATTAATCATTTGTAAATGGAGTTGATGTGTATATTAATAATCTTGTAATTTGTTTGTTAGAATATGATTTGTATTGAAAATGATGCAATTTTGTAACGTTTTCAACACATACATGTATTGTTTCAACTTATTTCTTCTTCTAACAACTAATGGTAGCCTAATGTAAGTATTTTTGCCATATCTAACAACTAATAGTAGCCTAATGTAAGTATTTTTGCCATATTATGTTTTTTCATGCTTTTATTACAATTTAAGTATATAATTTTTTGACATATATTTAGCCCCCTCAAAATTCGTTCTGATTCCGCCTCTGCCTCCAGTGGTTTTCGTTAGATTTTTGTAGGATGACTAATTTGTGGTTTTGCAGCTTATTGTGTTGTTGCTGAAGAATCAGTTGGACGACAGATCCCTATGGCATATCTGGAGCGTATTAAGGATGATTTTGTTGGAAAATACGGTGGTGGAAAGGCTAGCACTGCCACCCATAATAGTCTCAACAAGGAATTTGGGTACATAAGTTGTGGTTTTTGTGTATGTGGGAGATTTTCCATTTTTTCATCTTATTGGATTGAAAGGTTTGATGCAGGTCAAAGTTGAAGGAGCATATGATATACTGCGTTGAGCATTCCGATGAGATAAGCAAAATTGCGAAGGTTAAAGCACAGGTTTCTGAAGTCAAAGGTGTCATGATGGAAAATATTGACAAGGTACACATATTTCTATTTTTGCTATGAGCACACTGTAAAAAACTGTAACTCTTTTTTGTAATATAATAATATGCGTTTGGTGATGTGTAAGTATACAATACAAGGCTTATATAAGTCCCATATGAGTAGGGGATTATTTACGCGTATTGTTTCTTCCCTCTTTAGAAACTTGTGGCATATTTGTCAAGAATTTACTATTACTGGGCCCGCTTAATCACCAGTTACTCCCTGGTAATTAGTCCACATCACTATCCTGCCAGTGGCCAACTACTGGGTAAGCATTTAACTATTTAGACCATCGTTAACACTGTTTCTAGATTTGGATGACTGACGTGGTTGTCAAGCCATTCAAGTGTGTGCATTTTAGATATGTGTCCTTCAGCAACTCACGTAACCTCCCTAAAGCATTTAGAGCCACTTGTGTAACAACAATTTCAGTAGTGCAGCTGTAGCGGAGTTGCTTTGGGGCAACACAATCTGTTTCTTTGTAGTGCTGTGGCTGGCTCTAGGTAATATCAGGCGCTATAGCGGGCACATTAGCTGCAATACTTGGGGGTAATTTTGTTTTGCTGTTTTGACTTTTAAGGTCAGTGTAGCTATAAAGAGTAAAAAGTAACCCCACGAAAAACTTCTGAACACATCAGAACCACCTCACAGACTCAAAATCTTTTTTTAGAATCAGTTCTCTTCGACAACCTTCTGTGTGTTTTGATGACCTTCAGCATCTTGGACAACATGTTGACAACCTTTTACCAGTCATCAAGATCTTTACAACCCAATTTCACTGCCCTTTGATGACTCAACTATTCGGTAATCTTCTGTGCCTCTTTACAAGCCTTCCACAGTTTAGTCTCTTTTTTTTAATATGGAGAGTCAAAATGGATACACTCTAGTCCCTTCGTGTTAGATACCAAACTTCACCGTAACCAGTAAACAACGTACCATAGCGGCAAACAGAAAGTAAGAGAAGAAAAAACAGATCGAGACTCTTAGAGAGGCCTCACTCTCCCAATTCCCAGTCCAAGTCCCAACTTCTGCCTGCCTCTCTGCTTCCCTCCCTCCCCCTTCTATAATATTTCAATCCTTAAGAGCCGGCTGCCGGCCCAAAGCTCCTGAATTACATGGCCCAAACCCTCACTTGTCCACTAACAATTTATTTGATATTATTCTATTACTATTATTAACTCTAATTAGCCCGGGTCCCTATCGTATCCCCCCTTCAACCACCTTGTCCTCAAGGTGGGTGATAAGAAACAGCCCTAACCAAGAGCTTCTTCTTCATCCTTGCACGTCTTCCTTTCCATCATCTCTCTGGCCTCTGCTTGCTGAATCAGAAGCTTCATTATGTGTTCCTTCAAAATCACAACTGTTGCTGCTGCAGAAGATATGTCGAGTGCAATTTCATTTCTCACTTCTGATACTATCAATGTGTTGGATGTAGATTTGATGTTACTCAAGTTACTTAACTCATTGTCTGCAACAAGCACTATGCAAACTTCTCCATTTACCATCCACTTTTTTGTACGGCAATTATTATCAATTATAGAATTATTTGTAATAGCAGGGTTTGTCTTATGGAACTTCAACAGCCAACAGAAATGTTGCACAACAGATCTGCTTGCAATTGCAGAAACTAACGCAGATACTTTCAAGTCAACCTTTCCACCAACTTCCTGTCTTATCTTTTATGTAATTGCTGCATCATAAATAGTGTCTTGATTTCCTACAACCTCTAACTTTAAAACTGCCAACCCCTTGTTACCAAGATCAACTGCTATACTAGCAATATCTTCAGAGGAGACATCAGAGTCAAGAAGTGCACAAATGTTTGCATCTAATAATGACCTACTCGGATTCTTCAAATGCTGCCAGTTACTTCCAATGACCCAAGATGATGCTTCCTTGTTTTGCAGGTTCTTCACCAATGTCTTCCCAGGGGCTTTGATTCTGCTGCCAGTATGATCTCCTGGCAGTTGTTTCACTTGCCCTTCTTCCTCCAATTTGATCTTCAATCTCCTAACACTATCTTTAATCGTCCTTAAACTTGCCGACTTTCCTCTTTCCAGTAATATGTCTGTTCCACCCAATTTCAGCAAATAGAAATTCCGAAAGAGAATTACACCCTGCACAGAATCTTGCCACCACAGAGCATCTCCAATTAAAATTACAAAGTCAGCTTCAGCATCGATTTTGACTGATGAATTTGGTTATCACTTCCCTATCAACGCTTTCAGAAACCTTATCTGCTGCAGCAATATTCTCTTCACAGTGATTGATCTTATTCCATTCTATCATTAGTCCAAAATCAAAATAAGCAAGAGGTCCATCCTCAACAGCAAACTCGGGAGGTTTCATATCTCCCCTACAAAAGTAAACTGCCTGTCCCTTGTCTACAGCTGCAGAAGTTTCAAGAAAGGATTCAAGCATCTCCTTGGTTGCGCTAGGATGACACATTATTAAAAAGTAGGTAGGATATTGGCTCATTATCTTTTTAGCAACAACATTACTAACTACTTTCAGATGTTCAGAATCATAACCTTGATCATAGCTCAAACTATTAAACTTGTTCAATCCTTCCCAATTAATGTTTGATGAATGATGGTACACCATTTCAGATTTGACATTTGGCCAGTTCATATTCTGTGCAAGCTGAGAAGAAAATGTGGATTTCTCAACACAAGCAGTACCACAAACCTGAATAAACTTGAAGCGGTTGGCCCAACGATTTCTGACATTCGTTCCTCAAGTTCATCGTCTCCATCCGTGAGAAGCGATGGAATTTGTGCACTGGGGGCATCTGCGAATGTGATCTGGGATAAACTGCTAGCGATGCCATCTGTGAAGTGGAGTATTCTGCCGGCGATGAAGATGGCTTACCTGTAAAAACAACTTGCGTCGAATTCTGCGAGCAAGGAGACTCAGCTAGCGACGGACTGGGAGACGCGGTTTGCGCTTTCAAACGGTGAAACGAAGATTGTGAGGTGTGAGAATCCGCTGGCAATGGAGCTTTGGAGCTAGCTAGCGCACTGTGAGACGCGGCTTGAGATTGAGAAGAAACCTGCGAACTCAAAGAAACGGCTTGCAACGAAGAGGATCGGTGAGGAGCGGCTAGAGACTCGGATAGAGATTGCAAGCGGGGAGAAACGGCGGTGATGATAATGATTCTCCTCTAGGTCGCATCTTACTTGGAGGCGAACTGATAGACGATGAGGAGGCATTTGAAGGTCGCGACTGCGAACTCTGACAAGTTGTTTGTGACGGAGCTTGCGAACTTAGCGATTGAGACGAAATCTGCGCACTTCGCGATGCACTGGGAGACTTGGCTTGCGACGACGACGAGCACTGGCTTTCAGTTAGCAGACGACGTCTAGGGGGCTCCTCGCTCGGCCTCTAGGTCACATGCGACTCCGCTGTTTGATGATAGTCTGCAGATCGTTAATCATTTCTCGCATGTCTCATACATTTTTCGATTCCACTCTCCATCTCTCTCTCTCTCCATAATCGGTGCTCTGATACCAATGTTAGATATCAAACTTCACTGTAACTAGTAAACAACGTACAATAGCGGCAAACAAAAAGAAAGAGAAGAAAATACAGATCGAGACTCTTAGAGAGGCCTCACTCTCCCAATTCCCAGTCCATGTAAACTTCTGCCTGCCTCTCTGCTTCCGTCCTTCCCCCTTTTATAATATTTCTATCCTTAAGAGCTGGCCCAAGCTCCTGAATTACATGGCCCAAACCCTTACTTGTCCACCAACAATTTATTTGATATTATTCTATTACTATTATTAACTCTAATTAGCCCGGGTCCCTTTCACTTCGACTGACTTGTTTGTTGAAAAACTTAAAATCTTAAGCCAACTTGGGAGTGAAATACTTTGAAAGATTTAAAAGACAAGAATAGTGTCACCTATATTTTTGTGGCGAAACAACCACATGAGGACTTACCAAAGCCAAAAGGCACCAACGGGAATAAGTGGAGATGTGGGAATAGTGGTAATCAGGTTTGAGACTTTTTTATTGTTAAAGTGTAAACAATTAGTAGTTATTAATGCAATGGAGTGTGACTCTTTGAGCTATATTTATTGTCGTTTGGATTTGATATGTGTATGGTATGTAATTATATGCATTCATATGATATGTATTCTGCATAAGATTTGTCTCAATAGCTGTCATTTTGCTATATATTGTAGCGCTACAGTGTTTTCAAAGTAGGGGGATACGTTCCGGAATTTGGGGTTGGTGCTATAGAAAATAAAAATAGGAAACACTTTCTTTTAGGAAAATTGTTTCAAGGACTAAGTTGTAACTTAATGAAAGCTCTAAAGCAGCCCCAATTCTTGATTCAATGATGTCAACCATTTCCCTTTTAAAGATTCATATCTTTCTCGTTGAGATTTCACTACTATCTGATATTCCACATTGACTTCATGCCAACCAGCTATTCTTCCCGATTTCGAAGCACAAATGCGGTTTCCAGTTTCCACTCTTTATGAGGCAAATCACAGTGGGATGTTGGAACTTGGAAGTGTTTTATTTGCAAGCATTGAAGTCATTGGTCTCTTTTACTTTGTTCACCTATCTTTGCGAGATCTGAGACTACTAGTTGGAGTTTATATTCCAAAAAAGATGCTAGTGAAAGGATATGTAACGACTAATGACAATACTGGAGAATTGAAGCTTAAACATCTTCTGAATACTATACAGAGAAGTAAATGAAGAAGGAGTTGTATGTAAAATTGGAACATAGAGAAGTATAAAGAGACTAAAAGAAGCAAGAGGGAAAGTGAACAAGGAGTTGTATGTAAAATTGGACTCTAAGGAAGGAGAAAAAGACGATTATAGACTTGCTCGTATTCCTGATCGTAGGACTCAAGATATCAGAAAAGTTAAGTGTGTGAAGGATGTCGATATGGAGGGCGAACAAATGAAAGAAAGGTGGAGGTCATATTTTGATACCCTTTTCAACGGGAATAAAGTGCATGGTATTGATGATCTTACTATACCAGATTGTATGATAAATTGAGATTTTGTGAGAAGGATCCAAATATCAGAAGGTAAAGAGGCTTTGAGAAAGATGAGGCGGAAATAAGCAGTGGCTCCAGATGGCATACCAATCGAGGCCTGGAGAAGTTTGGGAGAGAGACAGGAATCGAGTGGCTAACATGTTTCTTCAACATGATTTGGATAAACAACAAAATGTCAGCGAGTTGGCATTTAGGGTTCTTATTCCACTATTTAAAAATAAGAGTGATGTACAAGAATACAAGAATATGTCAACTATCGAGGGATTAAGCTTATGATGATGTAGTGGTGCATCATGGCATCATATTTTCTGGGTATCCTTTGCTGAGGAAATATGTAGTCAGACTTTTTTGTGTTCCTTATGACTTTAGTAGGGAGCCTTTTATTGCAAACCATTGTTCAGTGTCATCTTGCTTTAGCCAATCTTCAAAACCGTGTTAATTGGCAAATAATATTTATGCATATACAATGAAAAAAATATTTGTAACCGTAATCCTGTATTCTGCCTATTGACATGTATTTCTTGTGTTGTGTTTGATGTCATCTAGAAGTGTTGTTTCCAATGTTCGTGTATTCTTTCTCTCATCTTCACCGGAACTCTTCAACCGCCACCGTTAGTCGCTTTTGGCTGCCTTATTCCGTCATCGCTCATTGAACCTGGACATTGATCCCAACTAGTGATTCGTGGAATTTATGTTGATATGCTCTCCAAACTGGTGACCTTTACCGAGCGTTAAAGATGAACCCGGGAACAAGCTATGCGGAGGTTCTGGCTCGGCGCAAAGATTCGCCAGTCTAGAAGGAGATTCAGATGAGGGGTGGTCCAATTCGGATGCACCGCAAGGTCAAGATGGCCGACCAACTGGGTCTGAGTGTCCAGCACAAGGCCGCCAAGGCAAAGGGTCTTGCCCAATAGGAACTTCACACCGCTCACCGTCCGGGTCGCACAGATCTATGATGAGATCCGCGATACGGTCGGCATCCCCCGCCTCAGGACCTGGGTGATAAGCAGATGGGACGGGACAAAGAGGCTTACTGCAATTATCACAAGATCACAAGTGAGTTATTGGTTTTGGCCATTTTTAGATAAACTAGCTAGTATAAATAATAATAGTGATCAAGTCCATAACCATTGAGGCGGCACTGAATCACCGTAGAAACTTCAATTGTGGTACTGAGCATGTTTCGTAATCACCACTAGCAGCCTCTTAATCTTCTTGAGCTTTTGCTCAACGCTAACATAATTATCTTCTTCTTTGTCTTCAAGTGAAGCACATTTTTCTTCATCTTCTCCTTCAAAGTTATGCCTCTTCATCTTTGCCTCCAATTTCATCTAATTGAAACCCTTTCCATTTCACTTTTTAGGGTGAAGTTGCAAGGGAACTTCGCTTAATAGTTTTTGAAGATGCAGCACCTTTCTTATTCCTGTTTTACTCCTAGTATGTGCTGTAAGCTATTGAATATTTGAACATCTGAACCCACATAATAGCTAGCCAATTTAGTTTTGCTGTTGTAATAAAAACAACATATTCCAGCATCTTCATTAGTATATCCGTCTCTCCAAGTGGAACTTACCCCTCCTCACACTCATAGGTGCAATTGGGTCAATTTCTTCTCTACAGTGTATACCTTTGTGCAAGTTTTTTTGTGTGCAAGATTTTGAATAAAACAATTCATGGGTTTTTAATGACTCTGTAACCAGGAATACTTTTAAAAGAGTGTTAATCAGCTTCTTCTTCATGATTAACAAATATGTAAAAACTGAGAGGGTTGACTGTTTTTTAAGGCTTACAACATGGGATACCTTTGTTTCTTTTTTCTTGTCAATTGCTATGTCAGTCTTTTGTTAAATAACTATTCCTGTACTCCATATCTGCTTCCATCTCCTTATTTAATGGTAATACACGCGATTGACATGCATTTTCATTTTTTTGAAGTTAGACTTTAAGATTAGAAAAATCACCTGTATGTTGTTTTTTCTGCTTCCTGATATAAGGTTCTAGACCGTGGGGAAAAGATAGAGCTTCTTGTGAACAAGACTGAGAATCTTCATCAGCAGGTTTGACCTTTTCTTTCCTATACTTTTTGGTGAACATTGGTGTCTTCTTTTTTAGTATCACTTTGTCTCTTCTTTTTGTTTTTCTTATGTCATTATGATTTGACACTTCTAATTATGGTAATACAACATCTAATAAAAGTAATGGACTTGCTAAATTATGGGTGTGCATTGGTTCAAAACCGGAACCGAACCAGAAAACCCGATTTCTAAATTATTATTTTTTTTAGAAAAAAATGAAACTAATATATTTGTAAATATAGGGTTTTAATATTAATAATGTTAATATTTTTGCTATACTTATCTACTTATTTTTGTAATTTTTCATAACCGAAAACCGGACTGGATAGCATTCTGCTTCGGTCCAATTCCGATTTTTTCGGTCTGCTTTGCGGTTTGAACCGGTTTGTGCACACCCCTACACACAAGTACACAATCTCATTAACAAAGTAATGTCAATAACCTAAGAAAATGGATTCCAAAATCTAATTAATCAAATGTATGAAATATGACACATCCTCTCTTCATAACAGATCAACATTATTATTCCCCAAATTACCATATTTTTAGCTGCGCTTATCTGAGAACAAGTTATATCTCATGTACAGATAGGGTACTAATATTAAGTAATGTTACATAATTTGGTGTTATGACAGGCACAAGATTTCAGGAACACTGGCACAAAAATCCGGAGAAAAATGTGGTTGCAGAACATGAAGGTGAAGCTGATAGTACTGGGAATTATAATTGCATTGATCCTTATCATAGTTCTCTCTGTTTGCCATGGCTTCAACTGTGCAAAGTGACGTTTTATGGCATCATAGATATATATACATATGTATTTGTAGTAGGCATTGATGTTCATGACTTCTAATTCGCGTTTTTAAAGAGGAAAATACTAAGCACTTTGTATCTTTTATAGGTGCGGGGTATCTTTTTTCTTTTTGGTGCAACCTTAAGTCCCGAAGACCCGAACTCGTCATTTCTTTATCTTCCTAGCTGTCTTTTAGATTTGCGTATTTCAAGGTCTACAAAGAGGAAGCTTTCTGCAATCCAGAAAAGAATTTGAAAAATGGCAAGTACAGAATATTTTGAAAGATCAGGATTGGGAAGGTGTTAAAAATGGAAAAATATTACTGAATATTAGTAATGGGATATCCTTTTTCCCAAAAAAAGAATGTTATTGATTTTCTATAAATATTTGATATCCAACTATCTACAAAACTTACATTCGTTAGTATTGACATCTTTTGTGGTTCTATAATGGCAACGTTTTTTATAAACTCCGTATTTGATATTTCAATCATGCAATTTTTGATGTGATTTTCATCATGGGTTAGAGTAATTCGAAAACATTTTTTATGTGCTTTAGTATAGGCGTAAGATTGCATACATCTGACCCCCTTACCTCATCGTAGGTGAGGATATTTGCGGCATTGAGGTAATGTTGTTAATTTGGTTTCTATGAAGGTGATGTTGTATAGTAGAAATAATGAAATTTGTAATCTAATCTAGACTTTGTTTAAAATTTTTGACGAGTCTTGTGTGATCTGATTGTATTCATGGTTCATCATTCCCCGGTGAGAAAAAGACGTGAATGTGTAGTTCTATACTTCTATCCAAATGACTGTCATCACACAACCTGGTGAGTGGTGAGTATATCTTAAATTGCACAATCATGGCACACAAAAATTGACAGTGCACAATGATATGAAAATGGAAAGAAATTCAAACTTTTGTGGAGTTGAGTTGAAAACCAAAGTAATGGGCGACGGTCACACCTCATTGAAAACAACTTTGAGCCTCGTCGTCTTCCCCATTTCATTTTCTGGGGGCTGTTCAACCACGACCCACCACGAAGACATGAAATTTAGGCTGATTCATATTGCTTGATTTTGCTTACGGTATTTATGTTGCCTGTTGGCAGAATAGTAAACAAATACCAAGTAAAATAATAAGGATGGCCTAAAGGAATAGCTTTTACGAGTATTTTATTCATTTGGTTCACATAGATTACCAAACTCGGTGGAGGGCCTGGGGTGGGGGCTTAGAGGGACACATGTCCCGCTTCCGACCCCGAAATTTAGTATCATTATTTATAGTAAAACTCGTGCCCCATTATCTAGACAAGAAAATAATTATTAGATAAGGTGATAATTCCGCCAAAAAGCTTATGATAATTGTAATAAGAAATTTAAACGATCACAAAGTTGTGATGAAGTCATGGAAATATTCCATACAGTTAGACATGTTATTTATATTGGGACTACACTTTCTTTGAAAAGTGACGTTGATAATTTGTTTACTAAGTACTAATTATCTTTCTCCAAAGTTAGAGGTGAAAGATATCACGTAACTTCTAATAAGCGGGATATCTTTTATGGATTGAAAACTCTTATCTTGAATAAAAATTCATACACAAGATACATTCATTGTTTTTCTTACTAATTGCAATTAGTTTTGTCAAAAAAATTGCACGGTTTGCAGATACTTATCAAATTCGAGCCAAAATTTGTGTAAAAAAAATTTGCCATGAAAAATTATCACATGGTCTTGACAAAAAAAGTTCCAATTCGCGATAAAATAATGTCAGACCCTTTGATTTTAATATGATAAAAGTTCAATATGTAAAATCAGATTATTAAATAAAGTTATATTCAAGCATGGAAATTATACTCCATCTTTGGACACGATAGTATTATATTTCAAACAAGTAACAACAAATATTGCGGCACGTGTTGCGTTGGACATGATCCTAGTTCAAAACCAAAACCCCGACCATTTTATAGTATGAAAAATAACGAAAATTCTAATCCAAAAATAGAAATGGTGCAATAATGATTCAATTTCTAATCCAAATAATGTTTTTCTATTAGAAAGCCTAGGGCTGGGCTAAAATACAAAAATTTTGGTATACCGCAATTACCATATCGAAAACTACCGGATTTACCGAAAAATTAGGTATACCGGTATTTTCGGTATGGTACCGTACCAACCAAATCAATTCAATATGATATCAGTATGTGTTTTGAAAATAAAAGGGATACCGGTATACCGAAAGTCCTATTCAAATATTTTTTTAAAATTATAAAAATAATAAATACACAACATCATATTACGGATAAATGATTTTATATCCATGTTGTTTGAATGATTTTTTTTTTGTTAGAGATCACTATTAATTTAATTATATCTATATTGTTGAAGTTATTTTAGGAGAATGTGTTATTTTTAATATGTGGCATGTTGAAATGTTTAAAATTAAACATACTAATAATTATTATTATTCAATATTACTACATATTACAATATCGAAGTAGCTAAACTTAGTCAAACCAACTAAACTTAGTTAGAACCGCCTGCTTTGATGCGGTGATTAGGAAGCAGGAAAGTATGTGAAATATATTAGGTATTGTGGTGGCGAGAGGGGCTCCCACGGTGTCACATTTATTTTTTGCTGATGACAACTTCTTAATTTGTAGAGCCAGGGAAGGAGAATGTGAGGCTATCCGGAATATACTACAGATTTATAAGAATTGCTCCGGACAGATGGTGAAGTATCACTGTTATGTTTAGCCCGAACCTGAATAAGGAGGCAAGGAAGATCATTATTGATTACTTGGGGGTGAGAACGGAAGGTGATAATACCACTCACGGCACACTTCCTATATTCCTGGGCTTACCCTTATATTATAGGAATCCCGGTCTGGGAAGAAGGAAGTAGAAAGAGAGAAGAGCGGAGTCGCTCACTTGAGTAGAATGAAAACCAAGGCAATTGCTGAAAACGGACATCCAAGCTATGCCAACCTATGCTATGAATGTTTTTCTGCTTCCAAAAAAGTTGTGTGCTGAAATTGAAGTTATTATGAATGACTATTGGTGGAGGGACTCAGGACAGAATAAAAAGGGGATTACTTGGAAAACCTGGCAGGCACTACTCTGTATTCCTAAACAGAAGAGTTGATTGGGTTATGGATCACTACGTGAGTTCAATTTAGCCATGTTAAGCAAGCAAGTGGGCTTATCATCAAACATCCGATCCGGACTCGCTAGTGGAGAGAATTTTCAAAGCAAAATATTATCCTAACTCTTCCTTTTTGTAGGCTAAACCCGGAAATATCCCATCTTTTATCTGGAGTAGCATTTTACAAGCACAAGAGATGTCGGAGCGGGGTATTAGGAGGAAAGTTTGCAAAGACAAACCATTTCGGTCTGGCGAGAAAGATGGTTGCCCGGAGAGGGGAATGGTCAGGTGCAGTCGAGTTCATCGGTTGGAGTTGCCAATATGAATGTATCAACTTTGCTTAATGAAGAAAGAGATCAGTGGAATTTCATGAGAGTTAATGCAATTTTTTTTGACAGAAGATAGGAAGACTGTCCTATCTATTCCGATGAGCAAGAGTAAAATTCCAAATGGAATTTTGTGGAATGAAGACAACAGAGAAAGTTATACCCGTGAAAAATGGATACAAATTAAATATCTCCATGGAGAGTGTCCGGTCAGGGGAAGGATAAGGTGGACTAAAATGTGGAATTTGAAATTTCATCACAATATGAAGTGCTTTGTATGGAAAATTCCTCAAAAAATTGAAGTGCTTTGTATGACAGCTAATGACCAAATGTTTACCCAAATCTAATCATCTACGCCGGCGAAGAGTGGAGATGGACAGTACATGCAGACTCTGTGGGAACTCATTTTGTTCGACAAGGAGATGATTTCACCAACTGGGTAAAAGTTTTTTTTTGACAATTTGCAGGGTGAGGATTTGGGTACTTTCATTGTCAATTTATGGAGCTTATGGAAGATACACAATGACAAGATATGGAAGAATATTGATGGAGACTGTCGTCATTGTTTGGAGATAGGCTCGTCAGTGTGGCGAGGCTGGAAGGCAGCTCAAGGGTGGCACGACAAGACTTAGGATGGAAAAAGCCAACATCAGGTACGGTTAAAATAATGTGGATGCAGCGCTCGATTTACATGGTCATATGTGAACATGAGCATGGGTCGCTAGCGATGAGTATGAGATTTTTATAAGTGGTTAACATGTAGAAGAGGCAAGTTGGTCGGCAGGCGTCTCCGAGGCTATAGGGGTTCAGGAGACGATAGCTTAGGCAATGGCGTAGGGATGGCAGAGTATCAAGGTGGAAGCAGACTCATTAGAGGTAGACCGTGATGGGGATTCTTGTTTTGACAATTTAGTGGAAGATATAAGACCCAATCTTCGAAATGAAGCTAGGATAGGAGTAGTAGCTCAAAGATTAGTTAGAACTGTTGTTTCTATGTCGGATGATTATTATATTGTTTGTAATTCTCCTTATTGTATTATTTCTCAGTTACTTATTGAGAGCTTGATTTAATTAATAATAAGTCATTTTTCCTTTCAAAAAATACAAAAAAAAATTATATGTAATCATGCTCTCATATGTCTTTTTACACTCTAATAGTTATTTTTGAACAGCTAATTTATCAAACAATTGTTGATAAAAAGTTAACTTAATCAATCAACTAAAATAACCAGTCATTATCAAATCATTACAATAATCAGCTAACAATTAACCGCTAACCCTAATGGCTAAACAAGGTCATAATCACGATACATACTCTCTCCGTCCCTTAAAACTTTGTCAACTTTCCTTTTTTGGATGTTCCATTAACTTTGTCACTTTCCCTTTTAAGTAAAGAATTTGTGGTTCCAGTTAATTCTCTTTCCTCTGCACAAACCTTAACTACATATTTTTTACTTTATTAATCCTCGTGCCAGTCAAACTTGACAAAATTTTAAGGGACGAATGAGGGAGTATATAAGTATGTCTTCGGGTTGAAATTATGGAAAGGAGCTTTGGCGAAGTACATAATTGTGATTAGGGGTGAGCATGGGACGGTACGTGATGGTTATTTCAAAAAACCTGTCCCGTCCCAAAGTACGGTTCTTTTAAAAATCAAGAACCGGTACCGTCCCGCATATATAAAGA